AATTTACCTATAAATTATAAATAATAATTAGGATTATAATTTTTAAGAAATATCCAAGTGAAACATCATGTTTTCATGTCATGAGAGATCGCTCCATAAAATGAATGTAAAGAATTTAAAATAATTTGCAATTTAATAATTTAGAGGATTAGTTTAATTCAAAAAGGAGTCCCAACAACCAGTAATTTTGAAGAAGAGCTGTTTTAGAGTCTGAAGAAGGAGCTGTTTAAGAGTCTGCAGAAAATTATCAAAACATATTCAAAACCATACTCTTATATTTTATAAAGATCTTTTTAATATCAATATAATACCTAAAGAAGCCTTTGATCCTTTTAAAACTGAAACAGAGGACAATGAGTTACTTATTCAGATATTAAAAATGGTTGAATAAAAAAGAGAAGATATGCTTATGAAAAAAATTAATATTAGAGGAACTACTGTAAATGAATAGAACCTGATTTTAATGGAAAGTAATTTTGATGATCTTGTGTTACTTTATTATATTTATAGATGACAAAATTGCCACTGTATTCAAATTATGAATTATTAAAAATACTTTGCCAACACTTCCACCTAATAATAATAGAATAGTTAAGAGATTATATCAAATATTTTAATGTTTTAGATGTATCATAAAAAAAAGCTTGACTTTAAAAGGTTAAAATTAGGATAAGTATATAAGAAGTATGAGATTAATTTTAATCGAATTTTATTACCTAATTTCTGTATAAAAAGACAATTTTTAACAGTTAACACAATAAATTTACTTGTAAAGCTTTTGGAATTTTAGGATTGCTTATAGATGATTTGGATATTAAATGAATGAAAGAAATAATAACTTTAAAAATTTATTTAAGTAATTTATTAGAAAGGGTAAAAATAGGTAAATTAATTGTATATGTCTCTGAGATAGGAAAATACTTATTAATAAATTAAATAGTAAATTAATATCTGTAGCTAAAAACATTGAATTACAAGTAAAATGTCTGAAAAACAATGGAGTAGTTTAAATCATAACAACTTTTTGAATTGATAACAAGTAAATATATGTCTAATAGTATCTTTATTGGTTTAATGGATGAAATTTTAAATATTTCAGAAGATTTGATGGTTAAATTAGTATGAACTTTACTAATTCTAATTTTAGAACTATGAAGGGTATGTTAAATGACAATTTCGATTAAAGAGCTAAGAAGTATTGGTTCAGCTATGACAAGATTAAGAAATTTTCTTGAAGAAATCAAATTAAAATGCTATACAATAATTATTAATTAATAGATATTAAATAATTATTAATAATGCTTTTGTGGTTTAAATTTGAAACAGCAAATTATTCAAAATATACTTAGCAAAATGGTGCTTACTAATATTGAGATTATAATTAAATCCATTTAACCATTTAATAAATTAATCAACTTTTGATGATTGTTTATAAATAATAGGTTAGATCTAGAATGTTATATATATAATGAAAACTAAATCCTAACTTTTTGGCAATTCGAAATCATTGTTATAAAATATTTTTAGATCAATCCTATTGATATGTATTAAATTAATATATTAAAATTGTTTCTTACTTTAAATTCGGCTACCTTTTTCATTATAAATATTTAAATGTTGCTTTTTGCTTCACTTTTATAATATAGAGCCATCCAGTTCCTTTTTTATAATATCTAAGAACTGCATTATAAAATATTCATGCAAGTTAGCATTAGTATGAAAAAAACATCATCTAAGATCCCTTTACTTGTATGGTGAGGAGATTTCTATATTTAATGAAAACGGTTTTATAATTATATTGTGAATTTTATTTTAAATCATTACAAAAAAGTGAAAAAGATGTAAAAAAATAAAAACCTGAGATGTAGGGAAAATTTCTTTACTTTATTGATTTTAAAATAATAATCGTTACTGGAAATTTTGTCTACTTAGTCTATAAAATAAAAATTATTTGTAGCTTATTTTTTGGTATTTTTATTAATGTTTAGTAAATAATTGATTCACAAAATAAGTATAATATCTAAGCTATCTATCTTTGCATAGTAGCAATGAATTATAACATTTAAAAATTTGCATTTCAAATTCCATTTTTTAATGTGAAGGTTCAAATATAATAATCTATAAAAATAAGACTGGGGAAGAATGAGAAAAATTAAGTGCTCAATTTTCCATTTAATCAAATATCGCATGAGAATACATTTTCATAAATTATTTGTAAGGAAATGATAGGAATAAGAGCAGGGAAAAGTATGTGTGCAACTCTAATATTCCATTTATTATGCATATTATAGAATTGTCAATTTAATTGAGTTTACAGATAAATTGATAGTAGAACAAAATATATAAATAAAACCTTTGGTAATTTGTGTGATTGCAACTGTTTTATTGGCAAAGATAATTTTGTTAAATAAAGCATATTGCTCTGTATTTTTCATACAAAAATAAGTATTAAAATACATTTATATTAGACCTAAGTAATTAGTAAAAATTCTGGGTTATATTATGGTTTAATTCTTAAGTTAAACCTTGCATAAATTTCCAATTAAGCTTATATTTCATTCTCCATTGTCCAGGAATACATTTTTGTCATATTAGAAAAAAAACTATAATTTTTCTAAAATAGTATCAAAGTTTTTAAATTGATAATCAATACTGATCTAATATTGTTTATAAAATTAGAATTATTTTTTTCCGATTCAGGCAAAGGTATTGATTGCTTAATCCTTGAAAATCTATTTATTATTATTTTATCAAAAAACTTACCTCCCAATTTGAAAGAGCTAGATATTAAGGATAAAACAAACGAATTATATTTTGGATGGAAAAATATTTTAAAAGAAATAAAGGACTTTGCATATCCATAAGATTTATAAATTTTTCTTGAAATTCAAACGGTTGATAAATGTTTTTTTAATTTTTTACATAATAAAATTGTTTTGATGAAAATCTTATCACATATTCAACAGTCACTAAACTATTAGAAAGAAAAAAGTAATAGAAATATTGTTGTCTAGCAGAGAGGAAAAAAGCAGACAACAAATCAAAACCTTTGGTTGTATAATATTATAGTCTATAAGGTAGACAACAGGTTTTTCTAAAAGGCTGGGACTTTAAAGTAAATCGTCAATTTCTATACTTTCAAGTTTAAGCATATTTTGTAGATGAATAGCACTAAGAGATCCGATAATATTTAATAAATTAATTTTCAATGATCAACTAATATTTCAGTTTTTCTGGTGATGGTATGCATAATCAACAAATAAATCATATTTAAAAAGAGATTTGATTAGGAATGACTAATAAACAAAACATACTATATCATATTTCAGTATTATTTTTAGTAATTATCTACTTCAATTTATTCTTTCAACTTATTAATAATATCATATCTTTTAAATAGTAACAACTTTGTACTTCTAGATTTGTAAACAGAATTGTCTCCCTTAAAGAAATTTTATCAAATTGTATTCAATTTTCTTACTTTATTTGAGTGAGTAAAATCTTGATCCGGATAATAGATATGAATGAGCCTTTTTAGTAGTTGAATTTTACGATTCAGAAAGGAGAATTAATATTTCTTTATAATTCTGTGGTCATTAATATTGGAAATAAGGAATAAAAATAAAATTGAATTATAAATTTATAAATTATAAAAATTTGAATAAAAAATCTATAAAGCATTTAAAGAAATAGATGAAGAAATAAATACTTTAGATAAAAGACTTATTAAAAGTAGATGTATTGGTAATATCACATTGAAAGGATAGGAGTTATCAAATGAAGAAGATGTTTGGTAAGCGATGAGAAATAGAATAAATTTAAAGAAGCAGATAAGAAATCGTTTAAAATTAAAATAATTTAAAACTGAAAGTAATTAGAATTACAGTAGATAAGATAAAAAAAATTCAGATTTATTCTTATTGGATGAAAATGAATTGAAGAGTAGACTACTATAAATAAAAATTATAGATTAAATGCAAAGTTCATCCTAAAAGATTCTTATATCTCTTAGATCTCTAAGTAATCTAAATCAGACACTAATATGATGTCAGTGAGAAACTATTAAATAAAAGAACAAGGATTTATAATAGAAAATATAAATATTCTCAAGCTGGAGATGAAATAAAAGAAGTAAAGACAGATAAGAAAGTTTATCACAATTATTATTTTATTTTATTAGAAAAGTGAGAGAATGGTTAAAAGTATAAATTAAATTGATATTGATTTACGTAATTGTACAGTTTAACTTATACATAATTAAACCTAATAAATTAGAATGTTGATTTTTAAATATTAATTGATTTGCTTTCTAAATTAAAATTTTATAAATGATTTGAATATATTTATTTTTGCTTAAGCATAGAAACTAGCATATAAACTAGGTTAATAAAATATTAAGAAACTAAAGGGTGATGTTGGAAAAAAAATTTAAAATTTAAATAACTTCGTTAATAAAAGAATTAAAGTTAAAAATATTTTAATACATTGCCATAAAAATTTTATTTGAAAAATAAAACTTGAATCATTAAATGAATTTAGCATATTATAAGAATATGCTAAATTAAAATTCTTTTTAAGAACTTCTGAGCTTTATTTTAATCTATAAATCTTTAAGATTTATTTCGCTTAATATTAATTACATCAAATTATTTGTAAAAGCAAACAATTTTTATTTTTTTTCAAATTATAAGAATTAGGGAAAATGTTTGAGTAGATAGTTTATGTAACATTACTTTAGGTTCTGCTGAAACCTATTCCTTATCTTATCTCTTTTTTATTCATTAATTTATTGATCCATTTTTGTTAATTTATTTACAACATAGTATTGATGTTCTGATTATTCTCATTTGAATGGATGTTAATTTGTTATTAAAGCTATTTGTAACATATATCCTATAATTCTACTTGGACTACTACATCTATACTTGAATGAGCAGATGGGGATAGATATTTTGATTAATTTCCAACTATACTCTAAGGTTTCTCTCAAAAAATTATATTTTAAACTGGAACATAATTAAAATGTTCACTATATTTGAATACTGGAATATATTCTATTTTTCAATCTTGGAACTGTACACTTATTTTATTATATTACTTCTTATTCTTAAATTATTATCATTAGTATCAGGGGAATAATGAATAATAAATAATTCAAAATTAAACCTCTTTTTCAATCAAGTTTCTACCTGTTGCTCTCCTATCACTTTGAATTGGCAATCAATATGAACAATTACAAAAGAAGACTTCCTCATGTCGAGAAGTGTTGATTTTGATAATACACTCTCTAAATTATTTTAGGAATTTATGCTAAATATAGATGTTTCTTTACATTTAATTTAATTCGATAAACATATTACCTGATATATTGAAATACTAATTAATATAAATATTGTGATTTCATAATTACCCTAATTAATTTGATTAGCTCAATCATAACTTGAAAGCTGTCTCAGAATTCAAATCTCTTCAAACTCAATTTTTTTTGAAATTCGCATTATTGATTGTACAAATTTTTAAAGTATTAGAGTGCAGATTTAATACCTCATATTTAATTGAAATTGTTTATTTCCCTTTCAATCTTAGCCAAATTTATAGTCAATTAATATTCTTTATTATAGATTTTTTACAAAGTTTAGTGAGCTTCTTTATATGCTAAAATAATATTTATTTAATCAATTATTCCATCAATTTAATGTAAGTTAACTTTTATGGTCAATATATATGTGATGATTTATTAATTTACTGAAAAAAAATTCTTAAATATCCAGGTCTCAATATTTGTATATTCTTCAACCATCTTATAAAATAACTTTATCAAATGTAATTAGATAAAATCAATTTTTATTTCTTTTTAATTATTGGCTTCTAATATCAATTAAGGTAAAATTTATTTAATTAAAATATTGTTTTCTAATTTAAAAATAATGATATTATTAATTATTTATGCAAACCAATATAATTCACTTAACATTGAATATTTAAATTTTAGGTATTCTATTCAATTTCCATTTATTTGCTTTTCTTTTTACTATCCAATTTGATATAAAAATAAAATGTTCTAATTGAAGATGTAATTTCCTATTGAATTTTAATCTAAATTTGTCCAAAAGATAATTATTCTTTATTTTGGTAATTAATTTTCACTATATCCCATATTTGAATTAATTTAATAGAGATTTCACAAAAAGCAAATACTAAAATTTAATCCTTCTGTATTTAAAATTTCTTTAATATCAATAAAATATTCTTAATCAATTCTAAGTATTCTTTGTATTCAATCTTGATAGACTTAAAATGGAATTAAATTAAATACCTCTTCAATTTAGTAAAGAGAGCATATAATCTCTAATAGGTATTTTAATCTGTTCTGAATTAATATCACAAATAGGATAAATTTAATTATGTTAAAGAAGTATTTAATTTTTCTATCTTATAAAATATACTTGCATATTCGTCTTTTTTATTGATTTATTATTTATATCCATAATTTTTAGTAATAAAGTTTATTTAAGATTACTATTTGAAATTATTAAATCAAATAAATGATAGGATAATAGCTTTCAATATTCTAACTACTTTTAATAGCTTCAGAATTGTCTTATCAATGTAGTGATCATTTAATTTCTATTTTTAACATCTACTTCGCGTTTTTAGCAAAGAATGATCTAATTTATATTTTATTTTATTCTGAATAAATCATATGAGAATATCTTCTTTTCTTTATTTAAGAAATATCACCTTGTTTAAGAACTTTTTTTGTTTAAATTTGATCTATTACAAAATTCTTAAGTTGAATCGAGCTTAAATATGGAAAAGTAGTATTGTTAAGATCTAAGATATCTTAATAGTATTTATTTCCATAGTCTTTATTCTATTTCTGAGATTAAAGATAAAATAAAAATAAGTATCTCTTTCTTCTAAACCTACAGACTTGCAGTTTCCATTATTTTCTACAAAGCTTTTATATATAAAGAGTTCCAAAATAAACACTAACACAGCTTCAAATATTCAATCGTAATATTCTAAAATATGCATATATATTTACATTATTTGTGTAATTTGATGAGAGTTAAGGAATTTAATATATACATTTAAAATAAATAAATGAATAAGAAATTTTCTAATTCTAAATTGTGTTATATATTAAAACAAGACTTTTTAATGAATCAATTAAAGCAGTAACACTTGAAGATTTCTTGGTAAAAGAATAAGTTAAATATTTGATGAAAATAAATATATCACAAAGTTTATGTAACAAGAAGTTGGAAAGATATTGAATAGTAAAGTTTGTAAAGGTTAATAAAATTAGATCTTATTTACATAGTGAGTCTTTGCATTAGTATTTACCTCAAGATCGTGGTTTTAATTAGAATTAAATACATAAAAAAGAATAATTTAGGATTTGAAGTATCATTAAGAATTTATAACAAAATAATAATTAGAAAATAACTAATTTATAGTAATAATTATTGCATAACACCTTTATATAATTAACAATATTTATATAAAAGCTTATTTTCAATCCTCTCTAAAAATTTCCCAACAATACATCAAAAATATTTTCTCATTCTTCATACTGGTATATATATATACAAAATTCATCTAGACCAAACAAAAAGAAGCCTAATTAGACCCGAAAAGTATTCTCAAAATTATTATTGAAAATACAAATCTATAATTCGAGGTTCAATGGATATTCGTTTTTCTATTTCACCTCATAGTCTGCAGGTAATCATACTAAGAAATTAGATAAAATCCAATAAAAAAACAGCATTTAATTATGAGATACAAAGTATATAAATAATTCAATTTATTCCAATTTATATACAGATTTTGATTTAATTATAAAATTTCATAGTCCTTTGATAAACATTTTATATTTCTCTCCTTATGAGAAATTAAATTTAAAATATTTTTTAATCAGAAATTTATATTGCTAGATTCTTCTTAGATCTTCGGTATTGTTTAAAAAAAAAATGAGAGAATATTCAATTTATTTGCTATAAAGAATCATAGTAATATTATATGAGGATAGAAGAGATATTATTTAAGAGAGCAGCTCTTGATTTAATATTTAAAAGAACAAACCTCTTAGAAGTTGCTGCCAAATATTAAATTATTAATGAAGAGCTGTAATTATTCAAAAGATTATTACTAAAAACTAAAATAAGAAAAATAATAGTTTTTATATTCCTTTATTTGGTATTAG